TGGGTTTCCATGGCCGAGCTGGGAATCGAACCCTGGTCTCCAGAGTCGCGGTCTGAAACTCAGACCACTACCACTACGCCACGCTGTCTGTCTGTGTGTGGTGTCAAAGTGGATTAATTCTGCATTGTGGCAGCAGCTTAGGTCAAGACTCTCCCAGGCTCTGAGGTTTCAGTTGCAGAAAGTGAGATCTAGCATCCAATGCTTGTGGTACCATAGGGGCAGCCCCTGGGGAAGTGGTTACGAAGGTGCAAGGGAAAGGCCCCAAGGCATCAGCCACAGCTGCACAGAGTCCGCCATCCAAACAAAAGAGGCCAAGTGGAACAACCAAGGAATGTATTGCACACACATCCACTTTTCAAGACAATGCTCTCGCCCTGAGATTCCTTCCTTCTGCCTCGAGCAGCAGAGAAGAGAGGCTACCAGTGATCTCTGCCTGCTATGCAAATGAGGAGGCGAGGCCACGCCCTATGCTAATCGAGGGGCGGGGCCAAAGGGCCAGCGCGGGCTGCCTCTGCCAAGAGCGGCTCAAAGGCTGCAGGTGAGACGGAGGCGAAGGTCCTTAAGGCAGGAGTCGGTCCCTTGCTCTCTCTCGAACAAAGGGATCCAGTGCTTCCTGCGGGGATCCAGCATGTTCCAGTGGTGAGTCCTCTTTGTCCTCCAGCTTTGCCTTTCTTTTTCCCTTTCCTTTCCTTTTTTGGGGAGAGATCTCTGCCCCCAAAGGATGAAACTCTCATTTTTGTGTGCCTCTTCCTTCCAGGATTTGGGAAAAGTCTGGCCCTGAATGCAATCGAGTAGATCCATTGGGTCCTTGGGATTGACTTCCAGGGGATGAAGCTCTCTCTCTCCCTTTTTCTTTCTCTTTCTCTTTCTCTTTCTCTCTCTTTGGGTCATTTCAGAGTTTGGAAAACTCTGGCCCTGAATGGGATTGCCTTTTCCAAGTAGAGTAGACCCATTGAGTCCTTGGGATTTACTTCAATCGGATGCAATTCTCATTTCTGTGTGCCTCTTCCTTGTAGTCCTGAATGGAGTTGTCCTTTCCAGCCAGAGTAGACCCATTGAGTCCTTGGGATTTACTTCCATCGGATGCAATTCTCATTGCTCTCTGCTCCTGTTCATTTCAGAGTTTGGAAAAAAGTCTAGTCCTGAATGAATGCGGTTGTGCTTTCCAAGTAGAGTAGACCCATTGGATCCTTGGGATTTACCTCCTCCTTGGGTTGCAGCTCTCATTGCTCTCTGCTCCTGTTCATTTCAGAGTTTGGAAAAAGCCTGGCCCTGAATGCCTCCCTTGAGCTTTCCAACCAGAATAGATCCATTGGGGTTTTAACTGCACTTTTCCTTTTTGTGATTTCAGAGTTTGGAAAAGTCTGGCCCTGAATGGTCTCTTGCCTTTTTTCCCAACCAGAGTAGACCCACTGAGCCCTTGGGATTTGCACTCCCCAGATTGCAACTCTCCTTTCTGCTTTAAGGTTTGGAAAAGTGTCCCTTTTAGGGTTTGGAGAAGTTTTGCCCTGAATGGAGTTGCCCTTTCCAACCAGAGTAAACCCATTAGGTCCTTGGGATTTACCTCCTTGTAGGATACTGCTCTCATTTCTGTGTGCCTCTTCGTTGTAGGCTTTGGGAAAATGTCTAACCAAAATGTTAGAATTGGGTCCTTGGGATTGAACTCCACATTTCATTTTCAGGGTTGGAAAAGTCTGGCCTTGAATACTGTTTCTCTTTCCAACCAGAGTAGACCCATTGGGTCCTTGGGATTGACCTCCTCTGTAGGATGCAGCGCTCATTTTTGTCATTTCAGAGTTTGGGAAAGCCTGGCCTTGAATGCAATTTTGTCATTTCCAAACACTGGGTCCTTGGGATCCACCTCCATAGGATGCAGCTCTCCTTTCTGTTTTAGGATTTGGGAAAAAAAGTGTTGGTTTTTAGGGTTTGGAGAAGTTTTACCCTGAATGCAGTTGCTCTTTCCAGCCAGAGTAGACCCATTGAGTCCTTGGGATTGACTTCTTTCTTCTGTAGGGTGCAGCTCTCATTTCTTTGTGCCTTAGTTTTGGGGTTTGGAAAAGGCTGGCCTTGGATGCTGGGGTGAATCCCAACAAAGTAGACCCATTGGGTTCTTGGGATCTACCCCAGAGAGAGGCATTTAGGATGCCACTCTCCTTTGTCTGTGTTTCTTGATTTCAGAGTTTGGAAAAGTCTGGCCTTAAATGCTGTTGTCCTTTCCCACCAGAGTAGACCCATTGGGTCCTTGGGATTGACCTCCTTGTAGGATGCAGCTCTCATTTCTTTGGCTGCAGCTTTCATTTTTGTCATTTCAGAGTTTGGGAAAGCCTGGCCTTGAATGCAGTTTTGTCATTTCCAACCATTGGGTCCTTGGGATCCACTTCCATAGGATGCAGCTCTCCTTTCTGTTTTAGGGTTTGGAAAAAAAAAGTGTTGGTTTTTAGGGTTTGGAGAAGCTTTGCCCTGGATGCTGTTGTCCTTTCCCACCAGAGTAGACCCATTGGATCCTTGGGATTGACCTCCATAGGACACTGCAGTTGGCATTTCCACTTTCCAACCAGAGTAGATCCATGGATCCCTTTGGATTTACCTCTGTGCCAGTCTTTAGCAATGGACCCAAGAAAACCTACATTCTTTGGGATTGAAGCCATTGGATTTGGGCTGCGCCCATTGGCCATGCTGTCTAGTAGGTGAGTGTCTAGGAGGGATACCCCCCCAAAAAGTAACTTTTCCAAGCTTTTCCTTGAACCGAGGTTTGATTGAGGGGCTTCATCCTAACCAAGTGCAAGATTTAAGTCTGCAGCGCATGGGATCCCCCAGTTTGGAAAAGTTACTTTTACAAACCATCTTCACCTGCCCCCTGTCACCCACCAGTTTGGAGAAGTTACTTTTAAAACCTACTTCTCCCACCCAACCACCCCCTCAGCCCCAAGCATGCTTTGTCCTGGGTGCGGATTCTGAAATTTTAACTCAAATTTGAGGATACAATTCTTTGGCCAGGCTGGCTGTGGTTGATGGGAGTTGTAGTCCAACAGATCTGGGTTAGGGAAGGCTTTGTTCCTACACAGCTTGGTGTGTGTGTGTGGGGGGGGACGACACAAAGTTATTTTGGGGGGACTACAATTCCCAGAACCCCCCTCCCCAGCCAGCATGGTCAATGGGATTTGTAGTCCAAAATTTGAAGACCCAGAGGGACATGTTTTCCAAGGTCTGCCTGCAGTGATTCTAAGAGCAAACTCCGAATATACAATTTATGAAAGATTTTTCCTTCATAAAAGAAAAGGTTGATAGATGCTACGCAAGTAAGCTTTTCTTTCTGGAATAATACGAAGTGATGGGCTTCATTTTAAATATATATATATATATATATATATATATATATACTGTATATATATATATATATATATATATATATATATATATATATATATTGTAGTACACTTATAGTTGGTTTGTAAAGTGAGCATGTGTGTTGTTTGCTTTCAAATCTATGGCTGAGGTTTTAGTGGTGAGTTTCTCCAGAGGGTTTTTTTTTTGGCCATTGCTGTTCTTTGAGGTTGAGAGAGTGTGACTTGCCCAAGGTCACCCAGTGGGTTTACAAGGCCAAGTGGGGATTCGAACCCTGGTCTCCAGCGCTCAAACCACTGTGCCATGCTGCCTCTCGAAGGTGGCCATGCAGTTTGCTTTTGCCAAAAAATAAATGTTTTAGATTGATGTAGAACCTTGCAAAGTCAAAATCAAGTGGCCGTAATTTTTATTTATTATTATTATTATTATTATTATTATTATTATTATCATCATCATCATCATCATCATCATATTTATTAATTATTATTTATTAATTATTATTTTTATTTATATCCCACCTTCCTCCCAGTATAGGGACTGAAGGTGGCTAACAAATTTAAACCGATCCAAGTTAAAACAATGCATTAAAGCACTAAAAATGCAAAGTTTAAAAAAAAAGCAGTTTTAAAAAGTTAAAAATATGAAATCTTAAAATTTAATTATTATTATTATTATTTTTAAAAAACCCTCTCTATAAAACTTCTATAGTTTTATATAAAACTATTTTTAAAATTCTGTATAGAACCAGAGCTGGCTTTGGGTGTCATTTTATTCTGGAATAAAAAAGGATGGTGAGAAAGCAAGCTTTGTGGGGTGATGCGAGAAGTGGGTTTACTCCGAAGTAAGAGCTGCAGAAGTGAATGGGGCTTACTCTGAAGTAAGAGGACGCAGGAGCAGAGCCTTAGATCCAGGAAAACTCAGCCCAAATCCATCCTTTTTGCTGAACGCCTTCAAGTTATTTCCAATTTAAGACATTCCTATCATTGGGTTTTCTTGGCAAGATTTGTTCAGAGTGGGTTTGCCTTTGCTCTCCTCTGAGGCTGAGAGAGTGTGACTTGCCCAAGGTCACTCAGGTTTCCATGGCCGAGACGGGATTCGAACCCTGGACTCCAGAGTCCAGTGCTCAAACCGTGACACCGTGCTGGGTATAGTAATTGAATCAGTTGGATTTTCAATGGGTCCCTTCCAATTGGGACTAACCCACTGAGTTTCAGCCTTTGAGTGATTCAGGGCTGTATGATTTCTGAGTCTCGAACTCGGGTCCAAAAATAAGTAGTGCCTCCTTCCACCAAATTAAGCTCTACCTCGTCCAGGACCATTCCCAGTATTATCAACAGCCAGTAGACAGTAAGGTATGAGCATGGGGGAAGTATGTGGCCCTTCCCGGGAATGTTAGACTACAACTCCCAGCAGCCCCAGCCAACGAGTGTGTGTGGTGTGCCTTCAAGTTGTTTCCCACTTTTGGCAAGCCTAAGGTGAACCTATCATGGTGTTTGCTTGGCAAGATTTGTTCAGAAGGGTTTTTCCATTGCCTCCCCTTGAGGCTGAGAGAGTGTGACTTGCCCAAGGCTACCCAGTGGGTTTCCCTGGCTGAGCCGGAACTTGAACCCTGATCTCCAGAGTTTTAGTCCAGCACACAAACCACTAAGTCACGCTCCTCGAGCCGACATAGGTGATGGGAAAGAATGCTGGGAGCTGCAGTCCAACAACACCTGGAAGGCTGAACTTTTAGCGGATGGGAAAGAATGCTGGGAGCTGCAGTCCCAACACCTGGAAGGCTGAACTTTATCCATCCTTTCTGTGATCTTCCCTGTCTTGGCTTAAACTAGGCTTTGCCAATCTGGTGCCCTCCTGATGTTTTGGATGGCAGCTATGCTATGCTGGTTAGGGGATGATGGGAACTGTCATCCAGTGCATCTGAGGGGCAACAGGTTGACCCAAACTGGATCTGTCTTGATCCATAGAGCCAAATAATTCAAATAATTATGTTAGGTAGCCTTTCCTGGCCTTGGAAATCCCATTCTTCCTGTTGCATCATTTCTGCAAGAGCCTTTGCTTTCCTCTGAGGCTGAGAGAGTGTGACTTGCCCAAGGGCACCCAGGGGCTTTCCACGGCCGAGCGGGGATTCGAACCCTGGTCTCGTGCTGGTTCTTTCTAGAAAAAGCCCCCTTGGAAGCCGCAAACACCATAACTAAAAATACAGTAACATACGCTGAAAAATGCTACAAAAGGCAATAATGTGATTATTATTATAATAAAAATTGGAAAGTGCCATCTGCCCTCAAGAGTGCCTTAAAACAAAGCTTTCTTTTAAAGAGGACACATAATGCAATATTGTAATAAAACTTGCAAAGGCCTGCAAAAGGCATTAAGGTAAATTTTATTTATCATTTAAAATCTGTGCATAATAAAATGTATAAATGCCAGCAAATCTCAGCAGTGCAGTAAAATGAAAGGTAGGTTTTTTTTTAAGAATATGATATAATTTGCAAGTGCCACCGGATATCATAATGCACTAAGAAAAATAGTCAGTTATCTACAACTCTGGAGACCTGGGTTCGAATCCCTGCTTGGCTGTGGAAACCCACTGAGTGACCTTGGGCAAGTCACACTATCTCAGCCTCAGTGGAAGAGAATTGGCAAACCCACTCTGAACAAAGCTTTTAGGGCTTCATAGTCCAGAAAAGTAACTTTTTCCCATGATGAGTGGGAAATTTAGGAAGTTGTAGTCCAGACAAGTAACTCTGGGATCCCTGGTTCCGAATCCCTGCTCAGCTACGGAAACCCACAGGTGACCCTGGGCAAGTCACACTCTCTCAGCCTAAGGCGGCATCTACCTTGCGGAAATAGTGCAGTTTGACACCGATTTAACTGCCGCGACTCAGTGCTATGGCATCTTGGGATGTGTAGTTTTGTGGGACGCTTCGCCTTCTCTGCCACAAAGCTCTGGTGCCACTGCAAACTACAAATCCCAGGGTTCAAGAGCATTGAGCCACGGCGATCAAACTGGATTATTTTTGCAGAAACCATTCCTCTAGTCCTTCTTAGTAATTTTTTAAAAAAGAGGAATATTTCCCAGCTCTGCTCCATCCTCGATGCCCTTTTGCAATATTTTGGAGGGGAGATGGGATGTGTAGTTTTGCTTTGTGTGAAAGCACATTTTTATAAAGCAATCCGGAAATGACTAATGTGCCGAAGGGGAGGTTTTCTTGAATATGAGCCCTGACTAAGTTTTGGAGCACCTGGGTTACAAATTCCTTATCTTCTGCATACAGACGTTTTAAAGTTTCGTTTCCTACTTCATTCTTAAGGTTTTCTTTCTTTTCTTCCTTGAAGAAAGTCTTAAGAAAACTTCCCATGCCTGGCTTTAGGCTGCATCCGCACTGCAGAAATAATCTGGTTTAGTATTACTTTGGTCCCAAAATGCACTGCAGAAACAATAATCCAGTTTGAGACTGCTTTAACTGCCTTGAGGGAATCCTGGGAACTGTAGTTTTGTGAGACATTTGGCCTTCTCTGTCAGAGAGCTCTGGTGTGCCACGGTAAACTACAGCTCCCAGGATTCCCTAGCAATGAGCCAGGGCAGTTAAAGCGGTTCTCAAACGGGATTATTTTTGCAGTGTGTGTTTTGGACTGTTTAACTGCCATGGTTCAGTGCTATGGAATTCTGGGATGTGTAGTTTTTTCAGTGCTATGGAATTCTGTGCTATGGAATTCTGGGATGTGTAGAGCTCTGGCTTCTCTGTCAGAGAGCCCTTTGACAGAGAAGGTGAAATGTCTCACGAAACTACACATCCCAGGATTCCATATCATTGAGTTGTGGCAATTAAACAAGTGTCAAATAGCATTGTTTCTGCAATGTAGATGCAGCCTTAAGCTGAGAGAGTGTGACTTGCCCGGGGTCACCAGTGAGTTTCCATAGCTGAGCAGGGATTCGGACCCAGGGCTGCGCTCTGGTGCCGCAACCAACTACACATCCCAGCATTGAGCCATGGCAGTTAAAGTGGTATCAAACTGGTTTGTTTCTGCAGTGCGGATGCAGTCTTAGATATGTTTTTCTTACATATCCTTCTCTGCATTTGTCTAAACTCTAATTCTATAAAGTCTGGATAATATATATATATATATATGTGTGTGTGTGTTTCTTAAAATAAGAAATGGCCATTGTTTGACTGTTCGACTCTGGAGACCAGGGTTCAAGTCCCAGCTTGGGGCATGAAACCCAGTGGGCAACCTTGGGCAAGTCACACTCTCTCAGCCTCAAGGGAAGGCAGTGGCATACCCTCTCTGAACAAATCTTTCCAAGAAAACCCCAGGATAGTGTTGCCTTAGGGTTGGGAATGTCTTGCAGAGATGGAGAATGAACACGAGAAGTAAAGGAAAATTCAATAGGATTTTTATTGGAAGGGAAGCAGTTAAAGCGGTCTCAAACTGAATTATTTTCTCAGTGCGTTTTGGGCCTTAGATCATTCTGCTCATGCTTGAATGCAGGTATTTGTTCCTGGCGTTAAGAAAGAAATTGGGGCATGCTTCCAATCCTATATAGCGAGAGAGATTTTGCGTAATAATAATAATAATAATAATAATAATAATAATAATAATAATAATAATAAGAATTTATACCCCGCCCCTTTGGGATCAATCGAGGCAGCTCACATAAAAATACAATACAATAGTAAAAACAAATTACATCCCACCCACCCCTTAAAAAGTTATTAAATCTATTACAAATTAAAATAATTAAAATTTAAACAACAGTCAGTTATTATCAGTTATTAACAGTCATTATCTTTTGCAGGAGATCCCACTTCTACCACTATGGCTGCATCTGCACTGCAATAATAATAATAATAATAATAATCCAGTTTGATACCTCTTTAACTGCTATGGCTCAGTGCTGTGGAATGCTGGGAACTGTAGTTTTGGGAGACATTTAGCCGCCTCTGTCAGGGAGCTTGGGTGCCCCAACGAACTGCAATTCCCAGAATCCAGTAGCATTGAGCCATGGTAGTTAAAATGGTGTCAAAATGAGTTATTTCTGCAGTGAAGATGCACTCTTGGGTCCTGCTAAAGTAGGAATAGGAAACCTCTGGTTGCTCAGAGGCTGAGGGACTCCAGTTCCCATCATCCCCAGCCAGCATGGTCAGGGTTATGGCAGGGTATGTTGAGATGGGAGGACTTTTGGTTCTGTACCTCTCAGCTGAAACAAAATGTTGGATTTTCAATTTCAATTCGATTGCGATGCAGAGAGGTGGGTTATAAATAAACATTTATTATTATTATTATTATTATTATTATTATTATTATTATTATTATTATTATTTCATGGGGACTGATGGTGTTTAACTTGGGCTTCATCCTACTCCAGGATGCTGATGGTGTGTGCTCATATTTTTTTCCCTTGTGAATGAAGCATAAATTTATTTTTCTCCCCCCAAAAAAGACCGTATTTTGAAATATTGGCATGCATTCTGCTAGTTTTCAAACCAAGCCTTTCATATCCATCCTGAACTTGTATACAAGAGGCTCTCTGTTTTAATCTTCCTCATATGCAACAGTAATCCGCTTCTTTCTCCCTTTAGGCCAGGGGTTGAGTAAAGTGAGGTCCATACAGATTTTTGCCAGATTGCAACTCCCAGCATCCTTAGCTTTTCAGGCTAAGGAGGATGGGAACTATAGTCCAGCAACATCGGGAGGGCTGTGCTTTCCCCACCACTGTTTTAGACAGTGATCAGCCCATGAGAAAAGGACGGAACCTAGACATCTTTATGGGTTTTGTTTTTGGACAACAACTCCCAGAATTCCTGTTGGCCATGCTGGCTGGAGGATTCTGGGAGTTGTTATTCCAAAAAAAGGCTGGGGGTGGGAGGCACTGGTCAGATTTGCAGATGATGCCAAATCAGGAGGAGTAGCTACTACCCCAAAGGACAGGATCAGCGTTCAAAATGCTCTTAAGAGATCAGAGAGTTGGGCCAAAACTAACAAAATGAATTTCAACAGAGAGAAATGTAAGATACTACACTTAGGCAGGAAAAAATGAAAGGCTCAGATGTAAGATGGGTGGCACCTGGCTTGACAAGACTATCTCTGAAAGGGATCTAGGAGTCCTAGTAGATCACAAGTTGAACATGAGTCAACAGTGTGATGCTGCAGCTAAAAAGGCCAATGCAATTTTAGGCTGCATCAGTAGAAGTATAGTGTCTAGATCAAGAGAAGTAATAGTGCCACTCTATTCTGCTTTGGTCAGGCCTCACCTGGAATACTGTGTCCAGTTCTGGGCACCACAGTGAGTCTCTTTAGGAGGTTTCAGAATAGAAGTTGGATGGCCATCTGTTGGGAGTGCTTTGATTGTGTCTTCCTGCATGTCATGGGGTTGGACTGGATGGCCCTTGGGGTCTCTTCCAACTTTATGATTCTATGAAAGCCTCACTGGCTGCATCCCTGCAGCTGCCAGCGTTTAGGTGCATTTTAGTTTAGCAGCCCATCAAGAAAATCATCCAAAACAAACTGTCCTCCTTTTTCACTGTAATGCTTTGACTGGCGCCCTGCCAGTGGCATACAGATGTGTGTAAACCCACTGGGTGACCTTGGCCAGGTCACACACTCTCAGCCTCAGATGATAGTAATGGCAAAACCTCTCTGAAGGAACGTGCCAAGAA